CCCCCAAACCCCAAAACCCCAAAACCCCATGATAGGCCATCGCACTAAGAAATTTGTAAATTAATAATTATAAATGTTGCGAAAAATCAAAGATAACTAGTTTATACTTCAAGGATACATAAACTACAATAGAAAGAATGCTATCTAGGATCTTTAAATCGATGAAATTATAGAATAGGGTATAATACTTCATGCTGAAAATGAAACGAACGCTGAATCATTTAAAAAAGCTAGAATTTATAAGCTGCACATTAAAGATAACTATCATGAATGGCAATACTTTCACATTCCACCAGGTATATTTAAATCTTCATATTTACTAAACTAGACAGAGAATGCCCTGGATTTCAATTTGTGATACCAGTTTAAGACCTTACTACAAATGGGTCGAAAGAGGAATATACAGTAAACTTGATAGATTATGATATAAAAATTACCTATAACATCTAGACTCATATTTAAACACTGCACTAAAAAAAAGTTAAGTCCTACAATTTTCAAGAAAATCTTGAACTATTCAACGAACTAATCTCTCATCAAAAGAATTTTGTCTATTCATTGTATATGGCTGTAAGAGAACTATAGCGAGAAGATTACAGCATTTAAATCACCTATATGAGCTACTAAAAAGTGATCTTATTGATCAACAATACTTTGAAAATGTCATTCTTGCTGAATTTCTCAAGAACTGAAATGACAAAGATCCTAATAACACCTTCGATAGCTTCTCTTAATTGCTTCTTAGCTTCTAAATTTATGAAAGCATTGTAATATGAAGACGTAAAAATAATCAAATAGATCTTTACAATATACCTTTATGAATTCATTCAAAGCTATAAAGTATTTCAAATGATCTTTGAGTTATAGAATACTTTAGATTCTCTGAGAAAAGGTCCCTAAGTTGATAATATAGCTTATACTTTTGACTTTTAATAAACTTAATTTCATAACTAACTCACAGATACAATGGATACCTCATTCGAATAGTAAAATTAACTTGCTGATTATAAGAAAGAGCTTATTATGATCGTGAATTATAGAAAATTTTATTAGGTAGCATTCAAGATTGATAAAGTAAACAAAAAACTTTGTATTGCAGATTATGCGAAGCAGACTTATTATTATCCTGATGATCATAAGTTACTTTTATTTATTCCTCATGGATCTGGGTTAGCTGCATGCTTGTAAGAACTTATTGATAAGAAACTCTAATTAACTACAAATGACTTTATAGTATTTGGCGAAAGATATGGATTAAATGAGGAGAAAACCGAATTTCTCTTCAATGTCTCTTTAGACCATATGGAAATAGTTCAATTGATTTGCGAGACTGTTTTTGACTATATTGGATGCATTTATTTGATGATTAAGGTAAAGCAAATACTTCAGTTGAAGCATATGAAAAAATTAGAGAGCATTAACAAAGTTGAAGCTAAATTCCTTATAGTTGAGGAGCCTAAATATACAGGGAGAATATGTACAGTTATCTAAAATTATCAATTCAAATTAAAGCTAATGCTAGAATCAAGCAATGAATTAATAAACAATTTAGTTGAGCAGTATTTCCACATCAAGCTTTAAAGATGCTTCTATAATTACAAAGCACTCAAAGGTATGGCAGGAATCTTACTGACTAAGATATTTACACATATATATGTTTATGAGTTAATGTACTTTGAAATAAACAGAGATCAAGGTAGGCCTTTCCTCACAAATCATTCCTAACAAGCAGAGCTTGACTAATTAGTTCCTAGAAAGAAGTTGGATATTGAGATAGCTCTTGAAAATATAGATTTTTAAAATGGAAGAGAATTTGTGATTAAGTTCATCGACCCTAGAACTAAGAAATATAAATTCATTAAGTTTGTAGAAACTACTAATGAAGGAGTATTTAGTCCAGAGAATTTCCAAAATCCTGACTACAATAGATATATATAATAGCAACAGACGAAAAAATTTTTGCAAAGAATATGTTTCTTAATGACAATTGAACTTGATGAGTTATACTGAATAAACCAATATTTTGATGATTTTTTATTAAAAAATTAAATATATTAATATTCTATAACTTTAAGTTTAAATAAAGAAAATACTAATGGGGAATTGTAACTACAAAATTGAGAATATTGAGCAGAGTCAAAGTATATTATATTATTTCAAACAATTATGTCCCAGATATAAACAAATCTCATTTCAAATTTCATTGTGTTGTCGGCAAAGGAGGCTTTGGAAAAGTAAAAACTAAAATAGTGGTTAATTTAAAATAGGTTTGGAAAGTTGAAAGTAAAAAGTTCAAGACTCTTTATGCAATGAAGGAAATGGCTAAGGTCAAAATCGTTAATAAAAAGTCTGTCAATTCGGTGATGAATGAGAGAAAACTCTTATCTTAATTAAAACATCCGTAATTATTTTGTTGCCTCCTATCCCAATAGGTTCTTAATAAATATGTTCTACGCGTTCTCAGACTATGAAAATTTATACTTGGTCACAGATTTAGTCACTAGTGGGGATCTCCGTTATCATCTGAGCAAAAGAAAGAAGTTCACAGAGCCAGAGACAAAGTTCTTTATCGCTTGCATTTTAATTGGCCTTGAATACATGCATAATAATGGTGTTATTCACAGAGACATCAAGCCTGAAAACTTATTGTTGGATGAGCGTGGATACGTTCACATTACTGATATGGGCATTTCGAGAATGTGGTCCCCAGATAATGCTCACGATACATCTGGCACTCCAGGTTATATGGCTCCTGAAGTAATGTGCCGTCAAAATCATGGAGTTGCAGTTGATTATTTTGCTTTGGGCATTGTTTGTTATGAATTTATGTTTGGTAAGAGACCATATCTTGGGAAAAGTCGAAAAGAGATTAGAGATTAAATATTCCAGCAATAGATCTAATTGAAAAAGTCAGACATCCCAGAAGGATGGAGCATGGAGGCTGCAGATTTTATCAATAAATGCCTCTAAAGAAAGCCAGCAAACAGACTAGGACTTAATGGACCTCATGAAGTAAAATAGCATGTATGGCTAAGAGATGTTGAATGGCAAAATATCATAGAAATGAAATACTCACCTACCTTTTTACCTAGTATGTTTTTTTATCTTAACAAAAACTTTTAGATCCAAGGCCACCACTTAATAAAGACTAGATTGATAAAGACTTAACTCCAGAGCAAGCTGAAGAATCTCAAATGCTTCTAAGAAGAAACTCAATTCAAAACTTATTCAATGGATACGATTTCGACATTGAACAACTAAGGCATCAAATCTTATAAGACAAAAGAAAGCAAGAAATAGAGGACGAAAACCAAAAGAAACGACTTCTATCTAACTAGGTGAATACTACTCAAGGTGGCAATGAGTGAATCGATACCAAATTAGCATATAATAAATTCACAGAAGAATATTAAGAATGAAAGAAGGTATCAAGCCTACAGAAGAGTAGAAAGAGTCGCAGGGACGGCCATTAATGCAACATTGTTGCAATCTAAATTCAATATATCTCATCAATTATACTAATTAATATTGAACTTATTATATACGAAGTTTACTTAATCATTTAACAGTCATGTAATTAATCTTTAATTTATCAGAAATGAGGGGTTTTGGGGTTTTGGGGTTTTGGGG